TCAGTTGTTGAATAAAGGTGTTTGTACTGTGAAAGTGGTTTTCTGGAATGTTCCTGAGTGTGAGGGTGTGAGGGTGATTGAGTAGCTTGGAAAAAGAGTCAAGTTTGGGTAGTCGGGAAGGGGTGGGGAGTGGGGAGGTGGGTAATGAGGATGGGAGGCTCTTGGTGCGCCATTTTGGATTCCATGTAGGAATACATGAGTGGGCTGAGGTACATATGAGTTGTCCTTAAAGACTCCAATTAAGAGAGGGGTCATGTGCCACTGGGAATTATGAAGAAACCTAAGGGCCAAGCCAGTATTCCTAGCTGTGTGATTTTGAGCAAGCCAGATAATCTCTCTGTGCTTCAGTTTCCTTCTCTGTAAAATAGAGGTAATAATAACACCTGATAAAGGTTGTTGTGAGGATTAAATGAGATACAGCCCTTAGAACAGGGACTGGCATATAGTATTAAGAAAGCATTATCTTCCAAATTTACATCAACTGATGTATGGATAAACCAGATGTGGTGTATCCATACAATGAAATATTATTCACCTATAAAAAGAAATGCAGTGTAGATATATGGATCTAGGCAGTATAGATACAATGTGGATGAACTTGGAAAATACTACAGTAAGTCAGAGAAGCTAGACACAAAAAGTCACATATGGTATGATTCCATTTACATGAACTTTCTAGAACAGGTAAACCTACAGAGATAGAAAGTAGATTGATGATTACTCAGGGTTAGTGGGGGGCTTCCCAGGTGGCACAGTAAAGAATTCACCTATCAATGCAAAAAGACACAGGAGATGCAAGAGGCATGGATTCAATCCCTGAGTTGGGAAGATCTTCTAGAGTAGGAAATGGCAACCCATTCCAGTATTCTTGCCTTGGATATCCTATAACCAGAGGAGCCTGGAGGGCTATAGTCCAAGGGGTTGTAAAGTCAGACACAGCTGAAGTGGCTGAGCATGCATACATACAGGGCTGGTGGCGGGTGGAAAGATAGAGAGGTGAGGTACCTTTGTGGAGAGGCTGAACATTGTGAAGGAACTGAATTCTCCTCCATTCCTGCAAGCCACCTATAGGTGCCATCATTGTTTTAGAATTAAGTATTTAGGGAAAAAACAAAAAAACAAATGACCGTGTATGAGGGGCACTGGGCAGTGTCCAGTGCTGGGCTCTTGATCTCACTTGGCCACTTACCAACCATGTGACTTAAGGAAACAAATTTAACTTCCCTGGACTTCAGGTTTTTCAACTATAATATGAGAAGATGGAGGCTGTGATCTCAATGTCCCCCAAGCAAAAACCTTCAGTCTATAATAATGGTCATAGACTGATAATGGTCAGTGATAATGATGATGGTCCAAACATTTTTTAAAAATTATTTTTATTTTTGGTTGCACCGAGTCTTCATTGTTGCACACCGACTTTCTCTATACGCAGCGAACGGGGGCTGCTCTCACTGTGGTGCACAGGCTTTTCATGCAGTGACTTCTCTTGTTTCGGAGCACAGGCTCCGTAGTTCAGTAGTTTCAGTACTCAGGCTCAGTGGTTGTGGCACACAGGCTTATTTGCCTTCATGGCTTGTGGAATTTTCCCGGGCCAGGGATTGAACCCATGTCCCCTGCATTGGCAGGTGTATTCTTATCCACTGTACCACCAGGGAAGTTCAATGGCCCAAATCTTTTTACCAATTAGGAAAACCCATCTGGCTGTTCCAAAGCTGTGGGTACAGGTTCCTTGGAGTAAAACTTGTCCCTTCTATTCCAAGGGTCTTGAGTTATAGGCTCCCAGTCTGATGCTCAGAGCACAGAGGCCAGAGAAGGACTTCATTATCACTTCCATCCTGATTCTCCTCCAGAAGCAAGTATTAATGTGGTTCCTTTCTCTCTTTGGGGCTGGAGATATTGCATTGGCTAGTGTCCCTCAAAAAGTTCATGTCCTCCAAAAGCTGTGCATATGATCTTATTTGGAAATAGGGCCTTTGGAGATATAATCAAGATGATGGTCATAATGGATTAGGGTGGACTTGATCAAGTGAGATAGTTGGACACCATCACTGACTCAATGGACACAAATTTGAGCAAACTTTGAGAGATAGTGGAAGACAGAGGAGCCTGGTGTGCTGCATGCAGTCCATGAGGTCTCAAAAAGTCAGACATGACACAGCAACTAAACAATAGCATGAACAATCAAGTGACTGGTGTCAGTATAAGAAGAAGGAAGTTTAGAAACAGAAATACATAGAGACAGAGGGATGAGAAGGCAAGGTGAAGATGAAGAAGGCAGAAATGGGAGTTATAAGTGCCACAGCCAAGGAATAACCAAGGATTTCTAGCAATCACCAGTAGCTAGGAGAGAGGCATGGAAAAGATTTTCCCTTGGAGGCTCCAAAAGACACCTACTCTGATGACATCTTGATCTTGGACTTCTAGCCTCCTAAATAGTGAGAGAGTACTTTTATTTTGTTTTAAGTCACACAGTTTGTGAGGGTGAAAGTCACTCAGTGGTGTCTAACTCTGCGACCCCTTGGACTATAGAGTCCATGGAATTCTCCAGGCCAGAATATTGAAGTGAGTAGCCTTTCCCTTCTTCAGAGGATCTTCGCAACCCAGGGATCGAACCCAGGTCTCCCACATTGCAGGTGGATTCTCTACTGTCTGATCCAGTTTGTGGTACTTTGCTATAGCAGCCCTAGGAAACCCATGTGGGGCTGGGGATTCCTATTCTCCCAAGTGTCAGGATCATCCTGGTGAATATTGGGAGGCAGAAAGAGAGAATGCTGTCATGTGGACACTGTTACCTTTGTCCACCCAATAGGTTCACGTGACTGCTTTATCAGATGATGCTTCCCCCTGGCCCATGATGTTAGCAGAGAACTGGGCAGCAGAGACTGGGAACCACATCCTCAGACTGGAATAGAATAAGGCTGCACTTGAAACAGGGTTTCCCCATGTAATTTTTACCATAATTAATCTTGCATTGCAACTTAGTACACACATCCACAAAATGAAGTTCATGTAACAGTACTTCTTACTTACACTTTGATATTTTCTATTCTGTATTTTTAAAATGTCGATTTTTGTCCCATAAATTGACTTATAACCCACTAATTGAGTGTAATCTACAGTCTGAAAAACACTTTGAGTTGGAGAAGTGTGGAAATGGTAAGATCTGCCTCTCTAAGCCTATTCTCTTCATATTTCTTTACACTCAAAAAAAGTCTTACCATGAGCCACCTTATTCATTCATCAAACACTTATTAGTGTCTACTCAGGCTTTGAAAAGGTTGGGGGCAAGGAGAGAGAAGAGATACCAAGATATAAGCAATGTTAATAGAGCCAGTCTCATATGCTATGTATTGCATTAAGCATATTATATGGATTTTTCTCATTTAATGCTTAGATCATTAACTGCTCAGTCAGACACTTAAGAAAACAGAAAGACAAGGGTTTGAATTCAAATCAGTCCAACCTCAGAGTTCAATGAGCTAAACCACTTGACTCTTTAGGATAGAATGAAGAAGGCTCATTTATGAAAGTTTGAATAAATACAGCAAAAGTTGACTTCTCTTCCTAGCCATGACCACTGTCAACAGATTAAAGGGTATCTATTGAGACCTTTCCCTAGATGTTTACATGAGTCCAATGAGAAATATAATTCTCTTTTTAGTTTGTACTCATAGGAGTTTATGAGAACTGATAACACTATTCCAGGATTTTTCATCCCTGCCTATTCCATAGACCAACTACTCCAGTTTATACCTTCTTGCCCTATTTCTGGATGTTAAACTCATTCCTAAATTTTCATTATTACAGAAGTACTTTTTGGTATATGGGGCTTCCCTGGTGGCTCGGTGGTAAAGAACCCGCCTGGCAATGCAGGACATGTGGGTTTGATCCCTGGGTCGGGAAGATCCTCTGGAGAAGGAAATGGCAACCCACTTCAGTATTCTTGCCTGGGAAATCCCATGGACAGAGAAACCTGGTGGGCTACAGTCTATGGGTTAGCAAAAGAGTTGGACATGACTTAACTAACAACAATAATTTTTGTACTATGTATCTTTGTTCACATATGTGACAGTTTCCCCAAGGTGGATTATTAGAAGAGAAAGAAAGTACTAAGTGGAAGAATATATGCTTTTTAATAAATACTGCCAAATTCTCCCTTCAAGAGTCTATATGAGTTATATGTTCACCATCAGTGTGTGAAAGTATGTTTTCCTGCAGCTTCACTACAGAGCATATCATCAATTATTTCAACTTGTGTTAATCTGATGAGTACAAAAATATTCTCCTTGTTGATTTATGTTCCCTTTGATTACATGAAGTTGAGCTTGGCATCTGTGTGACAAACGTGGAATCTGCCGTATACACCAATATCCAAACACCGCCCAGCCTTCCCAAATAAGAGTAACTTCTCTCAGGGTTATCACAAGTCACAGAGCACCTCTGTGCAGATTAGAAAAGGGGCTTCTTCCCCAAGACGTGTTGCTTCTATCTGTTGGAAAAGTGTTATAATACATTGATTACTAGACATTTTATCCCAGTCCAGAGAAATGGAACAAATATATAAATCTACCATATCTAAGAGGTGATTGGCACCTCCTTGCTGGGGAGGGGAGGGTGCCCTGTTGCAGTGCACAACCTGCCCAACTGTATGGAGTCATCCTGCTCTTAACTTCTGGACAGTCTCCTTGGGTACACAGTCCCTGTCTGTATCCTCTGGCAGAAACCTGGTGTGAGTAATGAGCGTCTGGTCCTGGCTTCTCCACCCCCATGTCTCTGGTTGACTTCAGATTTGTCCTAATATCTTGCTCAACCTTCATGACGTCTTATTCTCTGTCTTCCTCCTGAATGAGGCTTAAAGGAAATTTTTGCCTGTAGGGAGCCTTTGAAGAGTCAGAAGTTTCCTTGCAGATGTGTTTTTAATACTATGGGAGTACATTAAAGTTGACATGATCTAACAGCATTCACTGTGTTTTTTTACAGGCTGGTGGTTCTGGGCTCATTCAGACAGCCATCCGGAAGTGTACCAGGCCTGGGCTGTGCCTGCTCTTGGAGGGGGCACCCCAAGGGGTAACCCCAGGATTTCTTGGCATCCTGTGCCATCTGGACTTGCTTTGCTCAGTCACAGAGAGGCTCGTGTGCCCACTCCGTGTTTCTGGGGCCAGAACCAAGTAAACATCTTGGAAGTTGTACTGTTCTTCTGCCCTAATTGGTCTCAGTGCGGAGCCTGGTGTGTGGGTGGTCTGCAGTGAGTTACAGCAGTCAGAAGAGACAGATAAAGACCTGCCATTCCTCAGGTAACCTGGCAGGGGTAAGGGTGCAAGGACAGGGATCTCAGAGCCACAGGGTTGGCTGAGATTTTTCTGTAGATTCCTAAGCACTTTTGCAATTTCTAAGAGTCTCATGACATGGTGAAGATACTCCCAAAAAGATCACTCGGGCTGACTGACACTTCACATTCCTTTGCAGTGATCTGGAATGACATCAGGTGGACGTGGTGACGCCGATTCTCTCGTGGTGGCCAGAAGATGCCAGAAGGGCAGAACGGCAGCTAAAACTGATGTATTAAAATAAGAGCGTAATTAGTGCACGATAAGTACATTTGCTGGGTAAACAAACAGTTTTCAAAATGTAGAACTATAGGGAAGAGTAAAATAATTGAAAGTGTTCTTGGGAAGGAAGAAGCCCTTACTTTATGTAATAATAAATACTTTTGAACAGCACCTGTGTGCCAGGCTGTGCTTGGGGCTGGAGACAGTGAAACCTGAGAAGATCCTTGTTCCCTTGTGTCTGATGTGCTTATAGTTAGGAGACAGAAAATAGGGCTACAAAAGTGATCGTGCTTAGGCACTTAGTAAATGGTAGTTATTTATTTATTTTTTATATGGTAGCTATTAAATATCCTACAACAGGGGATTGATTTAGTATATTTTTAATATACCCACACTTTATTTTGTAGTCATTATAAACATGGTTTTGAAGAATATTTTATGACATGGAAGCGAGCTCACAGTTCATTCATTCATTCATTCATTCAACAGACATCAGTTGAGCATCTACTCTATGCCAGGTTCCATCCTGGACTCGAGACAGAGCAGGGGGCAGCACAGGTGAGATCTGACAGGCTCCCTGTTGTTCTGAAACTTATATCCTATTCAGGGGGACAGTTAATAAAAAAGTGCAAAAATACCCAAACAGGAAAAGGTCAGATGGAGACAGCAAAGAAAGTGACATGGTTGGTGCCTGCAATGCAGGAGACCTGGGTTCAATCCCTGGGTCAGGAAGATCCCCTGGAGAAGGGAATGGTAACCCATTCCAATATTCTTGCCTAGGATATCCCATGGACAGAGGAGCCTGATGGGCTACTGACCGTGGAATCGCAAAGAGTCAGACACGACTGAGCGACTAATGCACAGGGGAGGGAGGGAACCGCTATGGCCTGAGTGTTCCAGGAGGGCCTCTGGGAGGAGGTGACCCAGAAGGAACAATGACCAAGAGGGAGCCAGTAGGAGAAGATAGGGAAGCTTTATGGAAACTTTGGGTCAGCTAGCCTTTCTTTAGTGTCACAGACTGGGAACCTGAGGTGACATGGCTTGGTGGGGATGTCGGTGGCAAAGCCAGGATTAGACCTTGAGTCTGGGCTTCCTGGGCAAACAGTGCTCTTCCTATGCTGTGTGCGTTTGACTCTCATTAAATGTCCAGTGCTTTTATGGACCTAGGGCCACACAAAGGATATCTCTGCATCAAGCAGGTCTCAAGGATTTCTATAAGTCCTACAGTGTGCATGCTGCTGTGCCCAGAGCCATGAAGAGTGTAACAGGCCAAACCAGGAGGGACCCACATCCATCTGCCATGTAGGAAAGTGAAAGCAGCCATGCCAGAGTGCACGGATGTGGGTACAGCATCCTGAGATGCTGCCAGCAAGCAGTGATCGAAGGAGGAGAGGTTGCCGAGGCCAGGCCAGAAGACTGAATTCTCGTCCATCCACAGACAACAACAGCCCCCACTTGGTCAGCACCCAGCCCCTGGAGGGGAACAGGGTGAGGAGGGAGGTCTTCGGCCCTGCACCCAGGGATGGTGTGTCCCAGACCTTCCAGAAGCTCCAGCCAAGGGATGCAGCCACAGGAATGATACAGGACCAGCCTCACCCCTGCTCACTTCTGTTCCTTGTTGCTCTGCCATACCCCCCCCCCCCCCCACTGGCTTTGATCACAGTCTCACTGAGCTTGGCTGGGCTTCGAGGTCTCCTGCTGTGACGCCCCAGGCTGGGACTCCAGCTCACAGGGACTCTCTCTCTGTATCACAGCCTGGATCTGCCCTCCTGCCTGCTGGGCTGTGGCAGCAGCACCCCTAGGGACCCAGGGGGAGGTAACAAAGGAGAAAGGTAACTTTGGGTCAGATTGCGGAAAGGTTTGCCAGCCAAGGCAGCTAGGCAGATGCACTTTGGTGGGCGATGGAAGCCACCTCACCCCTGGCTGTCTGAGTGGCATTTAAGACCTAAGAGGGCCGTGGTTAGAGGTAGTCATCAGGAGTTCAGGCACCAGGTGGGAAGATCTGTTCACATTCCAGGATAAGCCATGTACTCCCCGGGTGATCATGGTCAAGAGCCTTAACCACTGTGGACCTCAGCTTGCTCATCTGTAAAATGGACATAATAAGATTTGCTTCAGTATCTCAAGCATGCATTGCATGCTCAGTCATGTCCAACTCTCTGAAACCCCATGGACTGTAGCCTGCCAGGCTCCTATAGGATTTCCCCCCCAAGGACAGATTTTCCCAGCAAGAATACTGGAAGTGGGTTGCCATTTCCTCCTCTAGGGGATCTTCCTGACTGAGGGATTGAACACATATCTCTTACGTCTCCTGCATTGGCAGGTGGATTCTTTACCACTAGCACCACCTGGGAAGCCATTGCCTCATAAGATCTGCCAATGCCTGACACACAAATGATGTGGGTTCTATCCCAGGGTCAGGAAGATCCTTTGGAGAAGGAAATGGCAACTCACTCCAGTATTCTTGCCTGGGAAATCCCATGGACAGAGGAGCCTGGTGGGCTACAGTCCACAGGGTCGCAAAAGAGTCGGACACAACTCAGTGACTAAACCATGAGGTTGTCATGAGAATTGAGGATATATACGCAGAATCCCTGGGCTCATTGTAATCAGTCTAAACTGTAGTTGTCAATGATGCTGAAGTCTCAGCTGGTTTGGGGAGGAATCAGAGCCAGCTCTTTCAAAGCACGCCCACAGTGGTTGTTGGAGCCTCTTTCTTGCCTTCGGCATGATTGGAGTCTAACTTATTCTCTTGCACCCTGTTCTCTTTCCTCTTCTGGCTCATGGCCCAGGTTGGATGTCACTGCTTCTGGGGGACTGCCACGTGTTCTTCCTTCATCCTCCTGTACCCAGCCTCTTTCTGCTGTGGCTTCTTCTGCTCTCAGCTGCCCCAAGGCTTTTCCAGCCCTGCTCAGAGTCCTTGATGTCTCCCCATGATGGCAGAGGAAATAGCAACCGCCTCAGCTTTTCATTTGGCTCAGCTGGTAAAGAATCCACCTGCAATTCAGGAGACCTGGGCTTGATCCCTGGGTTGGGAAGGTCCCCTGGAGAAGGGAAAGGCTACCCACTATAGTATTCTGGCCTGGAGAATCCCACGAACTATATTATAGTCCATGGGGTCGCAAAGAGTCGGACACAACTGAGCGACTTTCACTTCACTTCACAGCTTTTCATTTAAGACCCTTGGCAAACTGACCTCTTCTTAACTTTCCAGCCTTAGGTGGATCTGGGAAGTTTAAGCCTGAGTTGGAATCTAGGCTTCGCTGCATCTGGACTGTGAAACCCTAGGGAATGTATATAACCTCGGTGCACTTTGGTTTTCTTATCTGTGATGCGGAAATAATTATCCCTGCCTTATCAACTTCACAAGGATGTTTGAAGGTCAGAGTGGGGATGGGTATGCTGACTCTACCTTGAAAGTGACTCACAGCTTTTGGACCACAGTGGAGTCCTTTGTTCTTGCCATTCCCTTCACCTGGAGTGCCTAGTCACCCTCAGTTACCATGGACCACATGGGCGCATCCTTCAGAGCCCAGGGCAAACGCCATGTCTTCCCTGAAGTCACTCTCATTACGCTGCCTGAAATGATCTCCCCTCTCATGTTTCTTGTATTATGTTGCTTTTGTTTGTTTGTTGTTGTTTTAGTCAACTCAGACACAGTCTGACTCTTTGAGAGACCATGGACTGTAGCCCACCAGGCTCCTCTGTCCATGGGATTTCCAAGACAAGAATACTGGAGTGGGTGGCCATTTCCTACTCCAAGGGATCTTCCCAACCCAGGGATCGAACCCGCATCTCCTGTGACTCCTGCATCTCCTGCGTTGGCAGGCGGATTCTTTCCCACTGAGTGAGTCACTGGGGAACCCAGTCATGTTGCTTCCTTGCTCTCAGACACCGTGAGAGGCCTCACAGTACCTGTCTTCCAGTATCTGCCTCACCTCCTTAGACAGTGAGCCCCTGGAGGGCTGGACTAAAATCAGCTCTGGTTTTCCCATAGCAGATCATACCCCCCACACAATCGGTGCTTGAGGAGTACTTGTTGAAAGGACAGCTGACTGGATGCATGAATTAATGAATTTCGGTAGATGAGATGCACTGGAGGGGGAAGAGATGAGTCTGATCCCTTTGGTGGGGCCTGTTTTATGGCCCAAATTTTCACAAACAAAATGGATCCAGGGTGCCCAGACAGGAAGGATTTAGGGGCAGAAATGGGATGGCAGGCTGGTGAGGGACAGCTGTGTTCTGAAGAGCAAGCATACGTGTTCGCTGGAAGGGATGGGGCTCTGCGCACAGCGGTACCGGATTGCAGATGAGTGCAATACCTCGCTCCTCCTCCTGAGGGCGCCTGCCTGGTCGGGGGGGGGGGGTGGGGGTGGGGGAGGGGGGGTGGGGGAGGGGGCGGGGAGGGGGAGGGGGAGGGTAGCAGGCGGGGAGGGGCGGGCCGGGGAAGCGTGGGTCGGTCTGGTAGCTGGGGAGGTGACTTGTGGCGACCTGATGAATTTTGTTTGCCACAGAAGAGCACCTAATTTATTATCAGGGGCTGAAACACGTGGAAGGAACAAAGGGCCCTGGGGACATTTATGGCCCAGCTGCTCCTTGCTGTTCTCAGAGCCGCCCTTTCTGATTTTGTAGGAGGCAACGACCCTCCTCATCTACCCCCTCACCCCAAAGGTTATAATCTGGGGCCACACATTCCTCAGGCAATGTCGAATCTTAAGTATTTTAATGCCTGATATCTATCTCCGTGTGCATTTTAGTTTTATCAGGGGCCAATGGAAAGTTTTTTTGGATATCTCTTTGAAACAGATGTCAGCAAAAACTTCCAGCACAGATCAAGGGCAGGTTAAGGCCTTTGAGATGGGTCTGAATGTCCCTTTAACATCATTCAATCTAATACCCAACTATACCTCCAGTCATTACCCTGTTTTTATAAGAAGCTCTGAACCATATGTTCGGGAACCAATTAAGCATACACATCAAGCTCTGGGATCAGGTGGAGCTCTGTTTAAATATCTTAACCTTTTATGATTATCTTAATTTAGAGAAAATTCAAAACACATTCAGAAGTCTTAGAAAATGAACTAACTAGGAATTTACTGGCCGGGTTCTTTTCTTGATGTTGGGATCATTTCTTTACAAGCCTAGCCTGGATTCCTGGGGAAATCTTCTGTAATCACAACTTCTCCAGAAATGTAGACAGGGGCGGGCCTAGGAAGCTCAGAAAGGGCCACAACTGACTTCTTTACCTTCTACTGGTGAAGCAGCTTCTCCCAGCCCCAGACCCTGCCATTCCCCTGTCCCAGCCCCAGAGGTGTCCTGCTTCCCAGGTGGAAGGGGAAGAAAGATAAGTGGACTCTGAACATGGACGTTTTATCTCCTTTAATAAAATTAATGAAGTATGAAATGAGTCGGCATAAAATACTTTTGCAACCCCTGTCGTTTTGGGGGAGCGATGGACTGGGGGGAGTTCAGGGCAGGGTCTGTGGTATAAACCACACAGATCTGACTGCACACGTGATAGTCACCCTGCTTTTCAATTCCAGCTTGGTTCTGGGGGTGGGAGTGAGGGCTAGGGTGGTCAGTGGGTCTGTCTTCATGTCAACCTCAGGTAAAGGAGATGCATGTTAAAATATATATGACTCCCCATCTGACGGACTTATAATGAGGTCTTACAGGCTGTTAGCTGCTCATGCCATACATTTTTATTGAGCACCTACTATATGCCTGATTCTGTCCTGGGCACTGGGGATTCAGTGAGCAAGAAAGACACAATCTTAACAAGGATATCAAACTGCCTCCAACACAGGTGCTCAGGTAGAATAACAGGACCCAACTGGGTCTCAAAAACCCTCTTTCTGGTGAGATGAATGGAGAGAGTAGTGAGAACGCATATACACTACCATATATAAAATACATAGCCAGTGGAAATTTGCTCTATGACTCAGGGAACTCATACTGGGGCTCAGTAACAACCTAGAGGGGTAGAAAAGGGTGGGAGGTGGGAAGGAGGTTCAAGAGGAAGAACATCTATGTACACCTTGGCTACTTCATTTTGATGTATGGCAGAAAGCAAACCAATATTATAAGGCAATTATTCTTCAATTAAAAATAAAATAAAATTTAAAAAGCCCTCTTTCTTAGGATTAGTAAACCTTTAGAATAGGGTTTCCTGATAAAATACAGGATGCCTTGTGTTAGTATATCCCAAGCATGGTATGAGACATATTTATGCTAAATAATTATTTGCTGTTTACCTAAAATTCAAATTTCACTGTGTATGCTGTATTTTTGTTTGATAAATCTTGCAAACCTACTATAGAAAAAGGATGAGGGGTAGTATCTCAGTCTTGGATGTTAAGTACAAATTTTGGAGGTAGGCAAGCAGAAAACAACCTTGTGCCAAGTCTCTTTACCTATGTTATTTCATTTAGATCTCACCACAACTCCATGAAGTAGTTTTTATTATCCTCATTTTGCCCAGTAGACAG